AATTGGCTCCAGGATCATGTATAAATTCAGTTGGTACAGCAATTCAGTGTAATAATATATATATATATATATATATATACACATATAAACAAAGATCTGTTACTTATCATTAATAGTTTAACTATAATAACCAAGTCTAGCAATCTCAAAATCTTTTGATACCCAAATATTAAGAGCAATCTCTATTTATAAAATCAAGTAACTCATCTTAGTTGATACAACTAAGTGCAGCCCTTCTACAAAAAACTAAACAAAGAACAACTTATCAAAAATGGTAGTTTGTTTTCAAACTAGTACTACAAATTTGGAATTGGTATCCTCAGAAGATGGCGGGATGCCATTGTCAGTAGCAATGCAACAGGCCATTAAATCCTGCTATAAATTAATTGACTCCTATTGCAATGTAAAACATGCAGCTAAACAGTGCAAAAGATGCCCATCATATCTTATAGCTTGTGTCCCTTTGCAGGAAATATGCTGTTCAGATTATATGCATAGACTTACAATATAATATTGTACAAGTTAATATATAACAACAACAAGACAGGACATTATACAGGTTAATACATCATAACAATATGATATAGTATTATTTTAAGTTAACAGTTAAGAGTATTGCAGACATAAAAACTACTGATAAAACATAGCTACTATACAAGTTAAAACTAAAAACTATATGGTATTGTACCAGTTAATATTTCACAGTATGATATATTTCTCTTCATTTTTAATGAACTTGTTACAGAAAATTATTTTCAAAATCAGATTCTTAGCCATTTGACGAAAATGTTAAAAAACAATTCAGTGTGTGTGTATATATAGACATTTACTTCATGACAAGTCTTAGATTTTGTGAACACATTTTATTTGTTACTGGATTACTTTTAGGATGCATCTAGCTTAATGTATTTCATTGATGTGTTATTTATTAGCAACAATTTAATAACAGCCTGGTATTATAGTTAGGATATATAGAACTTTTAACAGCTATGATATCAGAAATCCATATTCATATCTTACTATTGTTTTAACTAAGACATTGCACGCTGTAACCCAACCAGTCTGACAATCTCTGATATTGGGAAAAGACCACATAAGCAGCAATGTAACAGTGTAGTTGAGATGCGGGTTAAATAGTTAGTACACAGGATCACCTACAAAAGTTGTAATATTTTCAAAACGAGACCCAAAACTCAAGTGCTTTCAAACAGTTGACTATTCTTCTTCAGGGGAATAAAGGGTAGTTGAAATGATATTATACAACCTTCTTATTGGAAATGTATTATTTACTACGAAAACAAGAACCAAGTAAAATTATTACCAGCTTTACTGTGACACAATATCACACATATATTACCTATTAACAGATTAAGCTTCACCATAGTATATAATGATCAATACACTAACCATTAGATCTGTATCACTAGGAATAAACTGTAAGACTGTGTCAAACCATACAGAAAACATCAAATCAGTAACACTGGAATAAAATATCCTACTTAATCACAAGAGTAAAAGAGATTACAATGACCCATGTACAAAACATCAACTCAGTTTACTAGTATTAAACCACAAGATTACAGAAAGGGTTTTTTCATAATATTATCTATGCTATTTTACGAAGTATGGATTAACACATTAATCTAATAGTATGCAGAGTTTACCATGGAACTCTTAAACTCCTAAATGTTTCATCTGCCATTACAGCTACATGCTGTAAGCCACATAAATCCCTTGGAACCACTCACCAAACATCAAACCAATGAGAGTGACAGTAAATCAAAATATTTTGATGAATAACTTATGAAATAATAAACCAATGTCACTAGAATAATTACCAGCATACTAATTATGTTTCAACATTAAAAATAATTTTACATTTAATGTAATTAAAAGAACTTACCATTGGAGATTACAAACATATCTTGGACTAGATAACATCAAGCTAGTGTCACTCTTTTACCACCAACTGAACCTGGAACAGTGAAATCTCTACTTCGACTTCCCATGAAAGCTTCATATCTGTAAGTAAGAAACAGATGGATCTTAATATACTTTCTACTGGTAATTTTTAATATACTAAATCTGAACATTCCTTAACATATCACATAAAACATCTACACATCTAATCTCCATCAAAGTTCTGAGCTGGTGAAAAAAGATTTCTCTTGTACAAAGTAATTTATTTTGGAGAGATATAGCACATAAGACACAAAATGATACAGAAAAATCTAGACGTTTTTATGTTTTATCTTGACCAGTGAGCACCAAACATTTTTATTAGTGCAAGAATTCAAACGTTTTCTATTTTTACATTTATAAACATACAAATCTCTTGTACCTCTTTCCTATACAAGTAACATGTACAGTTATAATAATTATAAGTTACTTTTACTTTGCAATTAGATTTTGTCTGATGTAACTATCATTAGAAGAATGGATGGCTTGTTGAAATATCCTTAAAGCTGTTCATAAACTGATACACAACCAGAAAACACTACGGTATATTGCTGTGAGAAAATGATGGAAAATGGAATTGAAAAAATTCAATTGTAATGGAATTAGAAGTAATTCTATCCATGTAAAAAAATAAAAGATGGAAATTGTTGGTATAAAAGCAAATATATATATATATAACAAATAAAAAAATGAAATAGCAAATTAAAATATCAGCAATAACTCTGTACAGTGGGATGAATTTTACCTCTTTGTGAGGGGGGTGGTGGGTAAAATGTAGAAAATATGATAAACAATCAATGGTTATATCACCAAAACATTTACACCATTTTTTACAAGACAGTGATAACTTGCGTATTTAACTTTATACAATACTTTACGCTATCTTATGTTGCAGCAAAATTCCAGAAGCAAGATGGTGATAACGAATTAAAAGACAGTACGCATAATATGCAAATACTGAAATTCCAAACCAAGTTTTATGGACTTGTATATCTGCATTTAAAAGGAGTAAATTACATAAGATATTTCACACTAGATATTGCAAAACTAGTGAACTTCCCTTTATACTGACAAAATGTAGCTTTAGAGAATCAATTAAAATATATATAAAAATAGTTATTGAGATTATGTTAGCACTACCTTTGATAATGACATATTTGGTGTGTCAAAACTAGTTTGGCATTTTATATAGTGTATTCATTTTCATAATGTATATTTAATATATAGTTTTATCCAATAAACTATTTATGCCTAAAAAGTTGTTCAATCATCTTTGTATTAAATCTCCAAATATTACTTGATTCTTTTTTAACATCGAAATGTTGCTTAAGAACTTATTTTACATTTTATAAATAGAGAAATTATACTTATATCAACATACAATTGAAAATTTCTTCAATCATATAATAACTATTTCTTTTTACTTAAAGAGTTTGTTTGCTTTAAGCATAAAGATGCACAATGGACTATCTGTACTATCAGGTATCATACTCCAAATCTTAGCATTATAATACTTCAAGCTTACTGCTGAGCCACCAGGGAACATATTCACATTCTCTCCTGATTAACAAGTTTTCCACAATCATAAATAATTATTTGGATTTGACATTGAGTTTTATAACAGTAACAAACTTGGCACTCTTGATCTCCTTGCTATTTTGTGTTTCTAAGCTAAAGGTATAGCGAAGCATAAAACATTCAGTAAGAAATTTTATCTCAACATTCTAATCAGACTTTAACTATTAAATATTGCTATTCATAAAACCTATAAAAATGGCTTATTTAGTATCACTTATTCTAGTTTTTTTGCAACATAACATGAAATCCTAAAAATGGTTTCTTCAGACCTTTGGCAATAATAGATAGGGTAAATGGAAAATTAAATATGTCAATAAAGAGTAAAGCATTCTGAGCAAAACATTCTCAGTGATTATGATTATATACAACATATTTATAATAGGCATATGTAGTTAATTCTTGTTACTTATTTCAATTACAAGTCCCCCTATCTTAAAACACTGAAATCATGTTTGCACTTTTTTACTAGTTATGAATCTGACATAGAAGATTAGAAGTTCGTCTGACTACCATAACATGACAGCTAAGATCAGAAGCACTGAACACTAGCTACAGGTAGAAAAATAGTCTTGTTCCTTGAAACAGAGCAATAAGAATGCTGGCCCTTTTCCTCTAGACAAAAAGATTTTAATAAAATGCAGGTGCTATCACATTTTTCATCCTCAGTGAATAACTATCTAAAAGTGTTATATTACTACATTCTTTTCAGAAACATTTCTTTGTGTAGGGTTGATAGCATCCTTTTATCTAGTAAAAATGTCTCTGAATCACCTTTCCTGACACTGTCTTTTCATTTGTTAATGCTTACAAACAAAGCATGAGGTGAGAAGTAGGTAAGATTGGCAGCCCCCATACTGCCTCACCCCACAAATATCTAATGAACAAGATATACCAATGACAGTTATGGTGTTTTTATCAGCATCCAGGAAAAAGGTATTGTTTGCAGGTGTACTCAGTGGGGTTTCAAACTCAAAATAGTGGATGCAGCTTACGTCTTGCAAACTACAATACATGACTTCTCTTTGTCAGCATCTTTACACAGTGCTGTAAGAATTGATAACAATTGTAATATTGTTGCTGTGAGTAAAAGGTTTGAAGAACAGTGCCGTTCTGTTATACTCTGGCAACTAGATTTGCTATGGAAAATTCAATGTCTTACTTCTAGACATACAAGCGTTTTTATGCATAGAGCACATGAACATGTTCCTTTGTTCCAATATATCTTTCAATGCTCTCGTTCAAAATAAAACCATATAGTAAGCACAACATTTACATGTTTAAATTTAGGGCGTATCCGATCAAAAAGCCGACTAGCAAGAAAAGAACACAAAGGAGTGATATAAATCATTCCTTGCCACAGCAGATGTAAGCATGCAGGTGTGCAAACAAACGCCTGTACACACGCAGAGCATTGATTTCTTACAACGACAGAGAAAATGCGTTCGTACTCGAGATCAGTAACATGTGGTACACATTATTTCAAATGCGAACGGTTGCAAGTGAGAAAAACTCAGCCACGAATCAACAGGTTTTTCTTCCATTAGAACACCTACAAAAGTTGCATGAAAACAGAAATAAGAAAGTAACTATATTTAATATAATTATTTTTTTTATAAAATTATTTTCTTGCTGACGTAGATGAAATGGCTATAAACAGGGGGAGTCATTTGTTCAAATGATACTTAATAAGTTAAAAAACAAAACACGTGAAACTATTGACACCGATCAAATTTTAAATGTCTATTGTAAATGAAAATTGGAAAACTGCTTTAAGCACACATAAAATGTTTATTTTTTTGAAACATTTTGGTCACAGAAGAGTCACTAGTGTTCATGTGATTGGACTTTTTTGAATTAAAAGAGGTTGGGCTTTAATATTTGAGTCTTATTTATTACATATTTATGGTCTATCTGTAATCTTGCCGCTGCTCGATTTTTAGCGTTATAAGCATTCGGACTTGGCGCTAAACCACCAGAGGGAAGAATATACTGTTAAAATTAAAATTGAAACCAAAACATTATTAAGAACAAATAAATAATTATTTTAGGCTGTTTTCAATTTTAATGTTTCTGCTATTTCGTGAACATTGTTGATAACCCTGTGCCTGAAATGGGCCAATGTTCAGAACGTTGCAAAATACAAAACATATTTTAAGAGTGCTAAAAACAGCTCAACTTATAATTACTTAAAATAACTACTACTATCATCTTTAAAAAGAGAAGTCGGACATTAATTCACAAATAAAAAATGTTAGGCCTAATATTCGTGATAAAGGTTACGCTAGGCTGCAATATTCCTTTTCCCCTGCATTCCGTAACTTTAATACATAAAATGTTATTTAATTATAAGATTCAGTGCATAGTTTCCAAATAAAATGCGTCTTCTGACGATAAGAAAAGCTAGTAGGCTTGTCGCACTTAGTTTTCCCTCATTTTTAAGCATACTTCCTAAATATATTTTTAATTGCAGTTGATTTTTTGATACCGATTTAAATCATCATTAAAGTGGCTACAATACCTAAATGTACATATACTCGAAACAGTAATAGATAGAATAATTGGACATCATCGCTTGGAAGCTTTTTGAAACGAAGTCATGTGGGAGATATATAATTTTGAGTGTCACAAGGGCCAACTATACCCTTTTCTAATTACAGTAACAGCAACTAACTTACGACCTGTTGGTTACATTCCGACGTTTTCCAAGTATTAATTACAGCAACAGCAACTAACTTACGACCTGTTGGTTACATTCCGACGTTTTCCAAGTATTAATTACAGCAACAGCAACTAACTTAAACTTGTATACTATATAATACCGAAGTATCGAGCATACTTATCAAACTTAGATACTGCATCAAAGAACTGAAGCAACACAGTGTTATCAATTTCAGATTTGATACTTTTAAATATTTAACGTACTCACTTAGCAAAGAATATTTATAAAAAAGCACTCTAACCAACAAGTCTTGGTAAGGCTGCTTCTTACTTCACTATTATGTATTATATATGTAAGAATAGCAATCCTATTACTTCAGTATTATATAGTATACAAGTTTGGTAAGACTGCTTCTTACTTCACTACTATGTATTATGTAAGAATAGCAATCCTATTACTTCAGTATTATATAGTATACAAGTTTGGTAAGACTGCTTCTTACTTCACTACTATGTATTGTATATGTAAGAATAGCAATCCTATTACTTCAGTATTATATAGTATACAAGTTTGGTAAGGCTGCCTCTTACTTCACTATTATGTATGTAAAAATAGCAATCCTATTACTTCAGTATTATATAGTATACAAGTTTGGTAAGGCTGCCTCTTACTTCACTAT